TGTGTGTGTGTGTGTGTGTGTGTGTGCCTCAATCAATAATGCAAATAACCTCCAGGTATTTGGTTGATGAGAAGGTGAGGGTTTACAACTGCATGAGAGAGAATTGGAGAAAGAAGGAAAGAAGAAGGAGACAGTTGTACCTGTGGTGGGGCGGCGCTGGCAGGTGGAGGCGGGGGTGGAGGTGGCGCCAGGGGAGGCGGAGGGGGAGGAGGGGGTGCTGGCATGCTGGGGGCCTCAGATAAACCTGCAGAGGACAGTTCAAAAAACACAGTCACCATCCCATGTGCATGCGCTGCAGCCACTGGACCAGCTTCTAGGATCTCTCACATCAGAAACTGCCACTGTGTAAAGGGTCGCCCTCGCTGACCTCCTCCTACCCCCCCCCTTCCCCAAACAGGAAAGGCTTTCTCCACTACGGGGCCGCAAAAAAACAGGAAACAGCGAGCGCTCCTTCCTTCCCGGAGAAATCTGACACACACACCCTCACCGGGCCCATGTCCTCCTCATCTTCTTCCCACAATGCTCTGTGATGGGACTTTGGAGGGAGGAACAATGGCGAGTGTTGTGTGAAGAAGTAAATTAGACCCTCGGGTCACCCACAGACAAAAGGCCTTCTCTGCAGCAACTGAGTGGAAAACACATTAAGGAAACGCCACAGGAACATGATTGTTAGGCTTTCCAGCTTATGTGTAGCACGTCTTCAGGTGCAACATGGTTATAAGCACCACCACGACAGCTCTCCAGGAATATGTCAACACGTTTCAATCTCCCCACATCGTTGGCATCCCGGCTGGTAAATGATCCCCACTGACAGTCACTGAGACCCCCACCCACTTGTTTGACATCATAAATTCTCAACTAGTTCTCTGCCACTGCTGAAAAGGCTGAAAACAATCCAATGTCTGTGGATGTTCTGTTCTCTGAGGAATTTCCTCATGTTCCTCCAATTTAATAATACACAGAGCAGATGGTGTGTTTGCTGAATCCCTGTTTATCTGTCCCTCGCCTTTATCTACTTGTGTAAAGTTCATGTGTTGTGTTCCCCCTCTCTGCAACTGGCACGCTGTCCTCTGCTGCTATTTCTATCTTCATATCTGTGTCATGCAGCCTCTGTGAGTGACACAGTGTTGATGTTTAAAGGGGGCTCAGATCTGCTGAGCTCCTGCAGAACAGGTGGACCACGCTGGAAATGCACCTCTAATACGTCCGCTTCACCCTGAAGCAACGAGGACCCAAAGTGACACAGACAGGCAGCTGGAACATGCAGCTGTTACTGTAACTGTATCAGGGGTTTTTCACACCTTTTGTCTCAAAGGTTGTAAGAGGGTTGCACACATGAAAAAAGATGAACCCCAGGATCTTTACAATAGGAGTTGATAAATTAACCAGCTGTAAATCCTGGTTAAATACAGTGGATTGTTATCTGCTTTGTATCTGTGACTGGTGTTAACAACACTTTTGACACAGCATGTCATGTTTTGAACATCTTGTTGTGAAACTATATATATACAGCACAATGAAGCAGGAACATTAGAAAAGAAAGAAGCTGATTTGAATTAATACTTGCTGCTTTGTTTGTTTTTTCTCAAATTAGCCTTTTTTGCTTTTATGCATTTATACCTGTGTAAAGTCACCAATTAGACTGATTTATAGATAGAAACTAAGAGTTATATTATGATACTGAAGTAAAGTGGTGGAAGAAAAACCTAATTTGCTGATATTCCACATTTCAGGGGCATATATGTTGGGATTTGAAAATAGATATATACCAGTTTAACTACCTGTCATCCATGGACTAACCTAGATTAATTAGTAATGTTGAAGTGTGTCTTACCTTCAGAAATGAGCAGTAATCCACCTGTTAGCAGGGAGCAGAGCTTCAGAGCTTCCCAGTCTTCATGGTGCGCTCCTCACTTCGGGCCAATGAGAGTTCCCAAGTTATTTTTAGTCAAATGAGGACACCGCGTCTCCAGTAACGAAACCACGAGGATCTGCTGCACTCACTTCAAAACATGCTCAGAGGCAGACAACATGCAACATGCAATGGCTGTGCACGATGGCCTCTTTAAAGCTCGGGCTGCGTGAGGGTCTATTCCCCTGTGCGAGCACTGCAGGAGGTGCACAACCAGACCGAGGCCACACCTCATACCCACCAGAACCAGCCCACACTCTATAAGACTGGACCAATGAGAGAGAGAGCGCGAGAGAGAGAGAGAGAGAGAGAGAGAGAGAGAGAGAGACTCTGAAGTTGCAGTACTCTTTTCCTCCTCACCTTGAATCACACCTGTGGAGCAGAATAAACAATGTGCATGTGTGAGAGCTGCTTGAAACCATGGTTCTGCAATAAGATCTCACAGGGTGTTTTTTTTTCTTTCCCAGCTTATAAAGAAAAAATTTCACTACAACTCAACTCCACTTTCTGGCTGCATAGTGGCACAATTTCTCCCTCTTGTGGTAAAACGTGTCACTACAATTCACCCTGATTTGATGGCCTGTGTTCCACCCATAGACTGTATATAAAGAGGTTCCACCACATTGCATTCAGAACTAATGAGCAACAGCAATCCAGGAAATCTAACAAAGATATTGTGACTTCAGAGGTACGCATCAGTCTTAACCCGCTTACGTAAACACACGTACACACCTCAAACTAAATGGGGCAAAGGAATGCGGTGACACAGGCGTGCTCCTCCCTTGAAGTGACAGAATAGTAACCTATGCTGGAGGCCTGTCTACGACATACACTGCACCCAATATGTATATATAAATGGCACAGGTCCCTATTGTCTTTATCAGAAAATGCAGTCATCACATATGAGGCCTATTTTTTCTTGTAGAATGCCTGTGAATATCAGGTCTTGCACATTTGGGCTCATGCTTTGTCTTGAGTGCAGGTTGTCTTCTGTTTTTGTGATAATTCTGTATCAGTTTTCTAAGGGGGGACAATATAACCACCTTAGCTGACACATTCATTTGCGGGTTGACATGATGATGAAGCTGATATGCACAAATACACACTGATACAACTGATTGTAGCTATTACCAGATTTATTTGGCAGGCGATCCAAAATACAGTGGTACTGGATCATACTTCGTTAGCTACGTGGCATTTTCTCCTTCAGTTGGATACAACATGACTTCAATTATTTAGAATCCATTATCTTATAAAAACATGCTGGATTTCATCCTTCATTTAAAAAAATATTTGATGCATTTTGCACGCAAGCATTTCTCAATTTTTTCCATTAGCTGATTAGTTTTCACACATTATAAAAAAAATACCTTTTACACCTTCATAAACATCCTTCTACACCCTTTAGAATCATCATGTTTTTGTAAAAGCACAGTAAAAAGGGAGCATTACAGTAATCCTTCATTGTCGAATATATATTATTCTCATCACACAAATAACGTAAACATCTTATAAAACAATATTTTCTTGGAGCATATCACACTTCATTAGTAAATTACGTTGGATGATTGTGCCTGTTGTAGGTAGTGTTATGAGTCGCCCTGTAATGACGACAGTGTCCGTGATAAAAAAAGACACTGCGGGACGTTAAGTGCTCACTGCATGACTACTGTATCTCTTCATTTCGGGGATGTATGGGATATTGTTGGCAAAATGATTCAATGACCATCATAACAAATACAATCATGTCATGTCTTATTGCTTCTGTGTCTCTCTGGCACAAGTCCTTCAATAGATTTTCATTATTTCTCTAACAACATAACCTAAATCCTGCAGTATTGGTTTAAAAGCTGAATGCCCCTCATCTTCTCCATCATCAACAACATACAGCAAACAGTTTGGAATGCCTCAAGCATCTTCACGTTCTCAGATCCCTCTTCTGCTCCTCGAGCATCTTCGCAAAGGAGTCTCTCTCTCTCTCATTTTCCTCCTCATCACCGTTTATCCTCTCTCCCTGGAGCCACATGCTCTTGTGTCTCTTTCTCTTGTATGGGAAGGCTGGAGCGCACCTTCCTCTTCTCCTTGAATCGCCCCGAGCGCGACACCTTCATGTTCCTGCGACACGTCTGCTCGTTGAAGACGGATTCCAGGTGGGAGTCGTCGTAGGTGTCATCACTGACAAGGCTGGATTTCTTGCTCGAGTCCTGCTGGGACTGGTCGCCGTAGGTCTTGGAGGCACCTGTGGAGGCATCTTTTTGCTTCTCCGGACGTTGTGCAAAAGGGTCAAAGTCCGGGCCGAAGGTGTGGGACGCACTGGCATCCTTGGGGCCAGTGGGCTTCTTCTTTGTCAGGAATGCCTTCCACCATGGGGTTCTCTCTGTCATCTTTGACTGGAGGTTGGATACTAGAACAGGAAGCACAAGTATTCAGTATTCAGAAGTAATTGTTTTGCTGAGAGGACACAACTTGTTTGCATGCTATGAAGTGAAATTTCATCCAAAACATCAAATAAATGTTTGTAAAACTAATAATATGGTGTTAGCATTACACTATTTATTAAATATTGCTGACACATGCACTTCTTTGTGTCTCATATTTTCACAAATCTTGACTCTGTTTGACTAGGATTATTTGCCCTGTCTGGATTGGAAATGATTTGTTATATCCTGATTTATTTTCACCTCCCTCACCACCACCATTATCCACTGGTCAGACAGCTTTTTTTTTAACCAACTAATTCTATGAATAACCAGTGTAACCCTATTTATCTTTTCCGTGAAACTGGTTTAATGAGTCGTGAGAACAAGAGAACAAACCAAGGCTCTGATTTACAAGTGAACAATGCACAAACAACAGCTCATGAAGCCTTACCTGTGCGACAGCAGGTGATGTGGACCCTTTATAAAAAGTTGGATATAAATTGTCTTCTTTAATATATTCAGATATAAATCCACAGGATAGTTTGGTGTCTTCTTCTTTTCTTCTTCAGTGGTGAAGCGCTCACAACAACTGTGCCAGCAGTCCCTCAGCGCGTCGCAGCAGGATCCATTTTTACGCACGAGCCAGGCGTCCTGACCACACTCATCTCCCACCTGTCAAAACGTTTAATTCTTCCTTCTCCTCCACAACTGGGAAAACAATTCCCTCTCTTCTTCGGCAACCCTCCAGAAAGGCTCTTATGAATTGACACATTTATAAGGAGCGGCTTCCAGCTACTGAACCAGCAGGTTTCCGCCTCCGAAACTCTTGGAGCCCGAGCACCTGTCCTCACTCCTGATTGGACGAGCCGTCAGAATCTGTCACGTGAGCACCGGATCAGGTGAAGCCACACTTGCGATGGTGGGCGGGGCTTGCTGTTGCGTGGCAACGGGGCCCATGGGAGCGCGCATTTCTTCAGTAACAGGGCCCTTTGTATCAGTTGAACCCAGCCCAAGAAAGGACGCGAAATGATCCAATGATTTTTTAGGACGCCCTGCAGTTTAGGCTTCAGTGACTTGCTGTGCAAAGGAGTGGAGGTGTTTAGTCAGTGGTGTTGATGGTATTTATTAATAACCACTTACCAGAAACAGGTTGCGCTGAGCAGTCAGGCTGTTTGGTGCAAAGTGTTGGAATTGCTTATTATTTGGAGGGGACGCACAGGAGGAAGTCAAAAGTGTGTTGAAATGACATCTCTGCTCCAGACCTGCAATTGTTGTTATTGTTGTTGTTGTAAGTTAACATTATGAGAGGGGAAGCAGTTTTGCCTGGCGCCTATCTAACCTGATGGGGTACCTGTCACATGTCATGTTTCCTTCCTTGTCCTCATAATGTACAGTTTAGATCCCACTCCGACTCTAGCGTTAGTTTGTCTAAGGTTTCATGTAGTTTTCATTCTTGTCTGACTCCCTGGCTGAAAATAATTACACACGACTGAGACACATCCCTCACCCATGACCCAGATGTGCTTTAGTTCCCCATGTCCATGCAACAGCATCAGAAATTCAGTTACACATCCACAATTTCATAAAAGACATTGAGTTGCGATTATACGGTTAGAAAATGTGTAACAGATGTGTAACATGTTCTTCAATTAATGAATAGATCACTTATAAGGATGAAATAAGCATGTTACAAAAGGTACTTAGTTATCAATAAGATGATAATTATATATGAAATATATAATTTCTGCTGATACTTTATGAACATTGTGCTGATAATGTATTGCATCCCCTTTACTTTTACTCTGTAATTTAGTCTTGTTTACATAATTATATCACCACGTTAATGCATCACATCACACCTTCCAACATTTTTGTTTGATTTATAATGCAATACAGTTTAGTGACTAGCACGAAGACACATGTTGCACAGCACAACACATTTATATCAAGTTGTTTGTACTTGATAATTGGTGTTGCAGGTACAGCCATCAGAGGGTCCATTGAAGGTGTGGTGTAGAATGTAGCAGTCAGTGGTTTTGTTTTTGTGAAAGTCATTTTCATGCCTAGTATTACAAAGCTAGGCCACCTGTAATAACCAGTCTGTTAAATTTAAAACTGTTCAAAATGGTTCCACCAAAGAGTTTATATTACATTTTGAACAAGGCTTTATAACAAAATCAACTTTTACAAAATATACTGTGAACCTGCAAAATCTAAGTTATAAAAACTTCTTCATAACTATAGAAGGTACTTCCATAAAACATCAGTTAGGTGTTTACCATGAATGGTACATATTTTAGAGACATTTACATTTACTGCAATCTCCATATCCATATAGATCACTTCTTAATTTATAGCTGAGGTCAGATAGTAATCACATTAGTACAGAGTTGGAATAATCTTTTATTCTTAGTCTTTCTTTTGTGTAAAAGCCAAGTTTCGAATTGTCATTGGATCCTCGAGAGTAAGGACATTTCATTTTCCAGAGATGACGAGAATCAGTATGACTGTGTATGACCGGTATGACTGTGTAATCCCTGGTCAAATGGTTTCTGTGTGTGTCTGTGCCAAGAGGGAAGACCCAGTGTGGGCAGAGCAGCAGAGTCGATACACAGAGACGCTCAGAGAGGAGGGAGGAATCTGGGATCGCCTTTTGTTTCCCTCCTCCGAAATTTACAGTGAAAGTTGCTGTTGTGGCAACAGGAATGTTCAACATCTCTCTCTCTCTCTGTCTCCCTCTCGCTCCTTCAGTCAGCGGTGAGTGGCCTGAATACCTGAGGGACTCCCTCTGCTATCATCACCCATCACAGTCGAAACTCTGCGGAGTCATTTCCTCACTCTGCACAAACTTCAGTGTAAGTTCACACGCAGTTGTCTATTAAAATACATGAATGATGTGGAAAGAAGACATAATACTAATATATAGACAAGGCAACTTTATTCATAAAGCACCTTTCATACACAGAGGTAGATTCAAGGTGTTTATATAGGGACATGAAAAAAAAAAAACAGAACAAACAGTTTAAAGAATATAATAATTGTGTCATATTCAACATAGCTGCTGGAAGATCTTGGAGTGTAGTGTGTGTATAAATAGACAGATAAATAGATTGATTGATTGGTGTTTTCTGATGGTTCCCTGTTCACCGAAGACACGGCTTCAGGATCACAGGATGTTATCTCGTTATGTCGCCTCTCAGTTTGCTCCACTTTTCACTCCTGTATCTCCACATCTCATCTTTCCTCTCCACAGTACCAACGGCAGTCTCACTGACAGTTCATCGTGAACTTCAGCCACGCCAGATAAAGAAAACATCCGATATCGAGATCCTCTCTTTAGATATAGAAACATTAGTCTCTCTCCACCCAGAGAACACATATGATCTATAATAAGCTGAAGTTTCCCCAGAGTGAAAACTGGATATTTGCCCAATGATACGAAGAGGTATGATGGGAATGTGTGTAGAAAACGAAATGACACGTTGAGAGATATTGAAACAGTGACTTGGATTTTTACGTAAGGTGATTCCCTCCACCAGCATCTGTCTCTGTCTGAGGAATGATTGACATTCTATCACTACATGAATCAACACTTTTTATATCTCCATGACAACCACACCAGTCAGTAGCAAGAGTGGAGAGTGTGTTACTTACCTTCAGACACTGAAAGGTTGAGCTGAAATACAAGTTACCTTCTCTAAGCTGCTGTAGTAACTGTCAAATGTAATAACCTTCATCAAGGAGATCAAGGTTTCTTTTCCGTCTGTTTGTTTGTTTGTCTATTTGACAGATTACCATGAAATTAGGTGGAGGGATGTGGTATGTGTCAGGAAAGAACACATGAAATTTTGGCACAGATCTGGATAAAGGGTCGGATTAAAGGTTCTTCATCATTATCATCATTGTCCTTGATTTCCCAGAGAAGAATCCATGGATCTTGAGAAAGAAAATCCGGTATCTTTAGGGGACTGATGAGAGTGTGCAATTTAGTGTAGATCCAAATAAGAAAATGGCAGATCTGGTTTCATAAAGGGACTGTTGAGCTCTCCGAGTGCCCTTCTAGTCTTGATTTTGTTTACTTTAAGAGTATTGTTTGATCCTAAAAAGGTAAAACTGTCAATTTACAATCGTTTGTGGGAAGAGGTTTGTCCATAATCACTTTCCTTATCGTGAAGGTCACAGTTAAGCGCTATTTTTGACACACTCAATGCACAAAAGTGACACATTCGCTGTGTGTTACTATTTATGTCGACTCAGACGCACACGTTCACTCTGTCTACGCATTAGCCTCTTTGCATGTGATGACGGAAAAGCGCATGGCTCATGCAAGTGCCGTGTGCGTATGAGTTTGGTAAGTCTTTGTGAAAGGATAAACCTGAAAATCTTTTTTAGTCTATGTGGCGCATTGAACAACAGGTTGAACCAAGGTGTGCTAACCCTGGGAAAAAGAGAGCAGGAAGACAGCCAGTTGGACTGGTGGAGTCAGCTCACACACACACACACACACAGACACAGACACACACACACACACACACACACAGAAAATATCTTGAAGGGAATGAATGGCTATAGTGTATTAAAGGATAGTATAGACCTGGCTGACTGGTCCTCTCAAATATACATCATAAACAAATCATAAACAAATAGTGACGCTAACACGTGGCAGAAATAAAGGAAGAACTGTACTTGACAACTTTTCCCCTGCGTTTTGGGTGGAGCGGGCCAACTTGTACTGCTGTGACTGGAATTAGTTTCGATGAGTTGCATTGTGTGGTTGATTTGTGGATCGTATTGTTTGGCACATTCTTCTCCCTGTGCTGTCATTAAACTGTGAGTTTAAAGTAGTTTAAAGTCACCGTCAGCCTCAGCGTGTCATTAGCCCTGCAGACTTTAAAGATGAAACCTTCAGGAATGCAGAAAGGAATCCAACACTTACTGGTTATTTCCTTTGTATTTGTTGTGGTGTTTCGCTTAAATGCTATTCTCATAAAAGATGGACACGCACAGGTGTAAAATACAACAAGTTCACACCAACAGGTTTGGTTACTGCACTAATGGGCACCTTCCATTGATCATAAACCCCACACCACCAGGTGCCTAATCTTAAACCTGCCAGATTCCTTTTGATTCACTTTAAAACTGAAAATAACCTGTTGCAATAACCTCATTGTTACCAAATTGTTATTATCATTTTAATATTTTCCAATGCTGAGATATTATTATATTACTTTAAGAAAACACTACCATGCAGACCTGTTTTAAATACTCAGTCTCTTTCAGCTAAAAACTGGATTTGGAAGCTACAAAGTTTAGATTCCAGCACTCATTTGGTGTAACTCAGTGTGTTACTTTGTCAGTGTGTTTCAAAAGGTTGTATTTAATATGTACATTGAAAATTAATCCTGAAACACTGAAATAGTCAAATAATGAAATAGATAAATATTAAAACATAGAAATATAGAAATAAATAAACTGATATACTGAAAAACTTAACTCAACTACTGGTCAAATAGTCAAATAATTATAATAAATTAATATTTAATCAGTTAGAATAAATAAATAAATAAATGAATGAAAAATGTCCATTTGTATCTCATGGCATTTCTTAGGACACGCAAGCATTTTTAATGCTCCTGACGAATGACCTGACCTGTCTAAATCTCTTTCTGGTCTTGGTCAAAACTTTGACCTCTGAAAATCACAAAGAAAAATATCATATTAGTTTGACTGGAACAATAAACACCACAAACCTGTGAGGGTTTTAGACATGTGGAGAATGTGAGGGATTCAGATACATGTGACTAACCAGACTGGACGGGTACTGCTGTCTCCTCCAGTTTAGAGGGTAGATCTTCTGGAGGAGAAGGAGGGACAACCTCGACGGGCAGGAGTGTTGTGGTTTTTGGGGAAGGCTGCTGAGGTACGGTGGGCTCCTTATGGGTAACAGCCACATGTCTGCTGTCATTGTGATTCTCCACAGTCAGAAAGGGGTGTTTGAGCAGTTTAGCAGGTGTGATCCGCTCATTTTCATTGACCTGCACCAGCTCTTTGAAAAGGTTGATGAACTGCTCCATCTCCTTCCTCTCAGCATTGCCCTTTTCATACATCATCTGGAACAACAAAGTTCAAAATATCGTCAAAGAATGAGACTCCTGAGACATTGAAGACATTCTTGTAATAACATTACATTGAAAAGATTGACTGATTAGATCACTTACCAGCTCCAAGTCATGCAGAGAGTGAAAACACTGTGTGTCTTTACGGTAGAGCCCAGTCATAGAGAAAAACTCCTCTGGAGTCTACAAAGAGACAGAGTTTAGGTTAAATCATGGATGGATGGATGGATGGATGGATGGATGGATGGATGGATGGATGAATGGATGGATGAATGGATGAATGGATGAATGGATGAATGGATGGATACCTTCAGTCTCCATGTGCCGTGAAGATTGAAGAACAGGGTGCTCTTCAGTCCAGCATCAAGCTGGTGAATGCTTGGTCCACCCAGTGTGTTTACAATGTGTCTCAACTGGAAAAACACATATGTTCTGATTAGGAGCCGATCTCTTATTCACAAAAACACTCACACTTGAGATACAAATCGAGGATGCTGCGAGTATTTGCGTATGTGAAGATACTTACGATGTCGTACTCATCTACCCCGGGAAACAGGGGGCAACCCAGAGCCAGCTCAACCACAGTCATTCCTAGAGACCACAGGTCTATAGACTGACTGAAGGACAGGCCCAAAATTACCTCTGGAGCCCTGATTGAGACAAAATAAGCAACAATCAGCTTCATGTATGCAAACTGAAATTGAATTTCTGTGACAAAAAGCTACAGCATCTTTGTCACATGGTGTCTTATCTCTGACTGTGTTAGACCTTACCTGTACCACAGACTCTGGGCCATTGACCCTTGGTCTATGTCGGCCACATGGCAAGCAAGTCCAAAGTCAATTAGTTTGACTTTTAGTGGTTGCTGACACCGATTCACCACCATGATGTTCCCTGGTTTTATGTCTCCGTGGACAATAGCCAGGGCTTCCAGGTGAACCAGTGCAGTTGCCAGCTGAAGAAACAAAAAAATATTTGTTGTTGTCAATAACAATTCTGCACTGGAAACTTCTGGGAATAATAAATAGGAAATCCAACATACCTGCTGTAGAACTTGACGGATGTCAGCCAGGGGCATGTAGGCTACTTCCTGCAGGTAGTCTTCCAGATTAATGTCCAGCAGCTCAAAACTCAGACACATCCAGTTATTGTGGACGAATGATCCGTGCCACTGAACGATGCTGCACTGGTCGTGATCCAGAATCTGCATCTGTCGGAGAATTTCAATCTGTGGAAGAAATTAAAGTTTAGATTTCACCTAAAACGCAAAGTGCATGGTCATTATTTAGGAAGGTTTTATAAATGTGATCCATGTAATGACAAAATATTTCTAGAGGTAACTGCAGCTTCAGTTTTGATAAACCAACAGTTTGTACCTCACCTCTGTCAGAGACTGCTCCTGCAAATAGAAGCCGCCCTTGGTGACCTTGATGGCCACCTTCCTGTCCATCTTAGTGTCCAGACACTTAACAACCTGGCCAAACGTTCCCTCGCCAATAAATCCCTCCACACTATAGCGGGAATCCAGCAGAGATCCTCTGGGGGTCAGGAGGTTGGCTGTGGTGGACAGGATGAGATGGACACAACATGAAGTAACATGTTGGTTCAACAGTTCAACTCACAGCAGATTCATTTCATCTCATCTCATTAACAAGGATCGTCCGAGGGCTTTTCAATGCTTCCAACTGAGACATATTTACTTTGGTCAAAAACTTAATGAAAACAATGTTCATTTCATAACCAAATACATTCTGATTCAAATCACAGTTGAAGTGTCTCTCTGTTGTTAAATATCTGACTTTATCAACATTGACCTTTTTTCGTTGAATCCTCAAACTTCCAAGACATTTCCCTGGAAGACATGGTGATCAGTGATCCAAACTGTTTGTGAATGATCAATCTCAACAACAGAAAGGCTCACGTGAAAAGTGTACGTGGTTTTACTAGTGCAAAACTAATGCTAACCTCGAGAATGGACGCTCTCTCTCAGTAGATCAGAGTGGTGGACTGAGGCTCACTCTTACGGGACTCTAATATGTACATTGATGCGTCCTTTAATCTCTGTACATTACTTTGATCTTCAAAGTCATCATTTGCATATTATGAAATCCAAGTTTTTAACTTCTTGTATCCGTATATCGCAATGCATCATGGGTCCAAAACAATTACAGTACCTGACAGCATTTTTCCACAATAACACATTGTACAATTACAGGCATGTTGTATTCTGACTGTAGATGATGCATGTTACAGTTAAATACTGTTGATATCGATTGCGTTGCATGAGAATTGAAAGAATCTTGACATGAGAGCATGAGAGCAGAGGAGCAACAGCCATGTCCATCCACTCCATAATATGTAGGTTGAATGTTATTTTACTTTGTTGGGATGTCTTAATAACATTGTTGAGATCTTCATTAAACCAATGCTATTGTTTTACAGTTACTAAAGTGACAAATGTATAATATCCAAATATTATCTATGCTAATGCAGATGAATCAATGACATTTAAAATTAAAAAACTTGGATACTCTGCATTATTTCATGTATGAATGTTAAGCCCACAGCTTCAGGCTGCTAGCAGTGGTCTGGAGACAACCTTGCCGGGACCCTTTATTAGAGGAGCAGCTAAATTCAGTAACACTGCGGCTGTACGCGGGTTCGATCAAGTAAATGCGACATGAAATTATGTGAAAACACGGGATTATCGTGCTAAAACAGATCGCTAGCATGCCAACGCTAGCAGGGTGAAATGGGATTAGGCCTAATTGGTTTGCATGTCCCCAAGAAAGTTAGCGACAAGTCCACCTTAGTCCGCGAGCGTAAGGTTATAAAGTCAGCTCTTTGTTGAGAACAATGTTGTCTTCAGTGTGCAAGTGACGTTTTTTGGCAAACGTAAGCTAACTAGTGCCAGCTAGCTACGTTCGTCAGGTAACGTTAACGTATCAATCACAACGTGAAACATAACGCGTGACTTTGTATATTTTCAAAATTTTCTTTGACATCTCTTCTGTGACCTGAGTTAAACAAACTAAGGATGTGTGTAACTCATAGACTGTATATAAAGATACAGATTTCTGCTGTGTGAAACATGATGCAGAATGTAATGGAACAACTGAGCGAATTTTAGGCAAAAAAAACTCTTCAAATGTTTCTTACTGTTGGAGGAAAATCTCTTGACATGTGTGCATCATTTAGCTGCATCATGCCTCGTAGCAAACAAAGATTAATACGACACGTTTAAACTTGTACTTAAAGTTTCCCTTGTATGTGTTTACCAAGTGTTTACCATAGACTGTGTTTACATGCTGCTGAATGATTGGTCAGTGGATGAATATAGACCTCGGAGCTTCTCGTCCAGGAGAGGGCGCTGGTGAAACTAGCTGAACCCAAATCGCCAACCTTCCCGCAGAAGAAGACGCCAGGCTGCCGCTTGACATCGCAGAAGAAGAAACGGAGCTCTGTCATGTAACTACAACAGAACCAAGGTTACACCGAAGATCCCGGATGAGAGTATGAACGACATCTGACAGAAACACTGCGTCGTCTTGTCTCGGTGAGAGAAGAAGCGCCACAGCTCGTTGTTGACAGGTTACAGTTGTTTGATTGTCCAATAGAAAACACCGGCGTTGACATGCTAGCAGCGTTAGCTAGTGTGCTAACCCTCAGCATCAGCATGACGGAGAAGTTCCAGTCAAAACTAAAAATAATTACAATAACGCACAGGACCGGTTTTTAGGCAGTGTGTAGCGTTTCAAACATTATTCCCTTCAACCTCGGCTGTGGCAGCGATCAGTGTCAGTAACATCCATGTGTACTGAGGCTGTCTCTGGTGTAGTTGGATGATATTTATGTAGCTGTTATCAATGTGAGGACATACTAGATCATTCTGTAAGAGGAGTTTGGTGTGTGGTGCCTTCACGTCCATTATGTTCACACAGCTCAGGGTCTAGCTGGAGGGTCAATCATCCGTGGTAAAGGTAAGTGACAGCTGTCAGCTAACGCCAGATGTTCTTCTCTGAATCAAACAGGTCGTGATGAGCGTCCCGGGGTTCTTGTCCTCCGCTGCCCGAAGCCTTAGCCTTCCGTGTCCCACCGCCGGTCTGCTCTGCTGCCGGCTGCTGGTCCAGCCCAGCTCCATCAGAAGGTGAGTCTCCTATGAGAAGTACAGGTTGTGTCTGTTGTCCTGACTATCCAAAGTTTGCACTCACAACATCTGCTGTTACTTTTCTGGAAATGTCGCTATTTTTACTCATCCTGTGGGTGAATGTTTGACAACGTTACATTATCTGTAGCCTGATACGGATGCATCTACCACTGCTGAAGCCAGTTTGTTTGAGACTGGGAGCAGGTTGGAGTTTACACACACTCAAACACACACACTCAAACACACACACTCAAAATCAGGCCCCCGGGACTCCAACCCCACTCACTGGCTTAGAGTGACACACACACAGTGAGATCAGAGGAGCATTAACCTGAACCATCCGGTAAGTTACTTAGTTGAAGAACAGTGGGAACGAACAGTGAAAACACAGAGTTTCTCTCTGGTC